CCGCCAATCCCAGCACTGTGTTAATCTGGTGCTGGTCTGACGGTCAGCACTTTGAGCGGCAGACAGACAGATTGGCTTTAATCCCCTGAGTGCCACAGATGGAGCGCCACTACGCAGACCTTGGGGTAGGCGAACGTACAATTGCATACACACACATATATATACACGCACTCGAACACACACGGACAAAGACTTACAATCAGAAAAAAAATAACTATGCACACACTTCATTTAGAGGTACAGTCCATTAGTCCACAGCAATTAGAGCAGCATACTGCCAATGAGTGGTCACATCATTATAGTGATGTTCCTCCACTGTAACTCTACTCATGTTTCTGATGAACAAAGTGTACACATACTGTAAAAACAAAACAATATGTTGTAGTGTGCTGAAGGACATTTGGATCTCTAGCTGATGATGATAACTTACAGTTTTCCACAGAGCAACCAAAGGCCCCTTTTTATTCATTGTGAGTAAAAACTCCCAGTTTCCAAAATGAAAACTCTGGAAAAGATATTTGCAGATTGCCCACACTATGCAAGATAATGTCATCATCTTATTTCAAGCAATAAAAGCCTTTAAGAGTCTTCTGTCCCACGTATCAGGCTTTCCTCACAGTGTTTGGGAAAGAAACGGTTCTTTGATATGCTGCCATGTAATCCTACGGTTAGATTAGCTAAGGGTTAGCTGTTTTTTTATTCTAATCCAAAGAACGAAATTATTTCATGTATAATTATCTGGTTAACTGTGTAAACCCAGTTTTCACTGTAATGTGGGAAAATATACCTTTCTGGATACAAACGAGAGAAGAGGCGATGAGGAGAAGAGAAAGAAGAGTAGAGAACAGAGAAGAGATGAGAAAAGAAAAGAAAAAAGAGAAGAGAAATGAAGAGGTTTTAGAGATAATTGGAACAGTTAGATGTGCTCTGTATCTAACTCCAGTGATTCCTGGCCAGGGGTACTGATACTGTATTTCAGCAGTTGGAACATGGAAAGAGTATGGAGTATATTTGTGCTCAGGTGGAAAGTAAAATGGATGGTGTGAGGCTAAAATTACAATATAGAATCTTTACCATCACAGTAAACAATAAACAATAAGCTATAAATGAACGGACTGCACAGAATGCATCTCACACACTCCTGAGTCAGTTGTAACACCTTAACACAGTGCTGGGATTGAGACTGCAGAAATACATTGGAAGCAGAGAAATGAACACAGAAAGCTAAAAGGGCAGAACAAACGGCTGAAACGTTCAGTGGTAGCTGTGCGATCACAAACTTGATAAAATACAAATAAAAAAAGATTCCAGTCTTGTATGAGAAAAGATATTGAACCACCATTATGGACGGATGCTTCTTTCCATATAAAGACTGATTCTATTTGTGGCTCATTAAAATCATTTGAACTATTGATCAAAGGTGAAACCAGACTGAATTGTGATTACCAAAACACTTAAGTGGCTGGAGACAGAGCTGATCATCAATCTGAAGAAGTGATGGCTTTACTCTGTGTGTGTGTGTGTCCATACCACTGTAGCTGTGCCCATTGAAAACAACAGGATTAAAGGCTGGTGTTTGATTAGATGTTTGTTTGTCTATGTGTGTTTCATTGTAATGAGTATAGCTGAGGCCACAGTGACATGGGTGGATGTGTGTGCGTGTGTTTGTGCGTTTCATTGTAATGAATATGGCTGAGGGCATGGCTTTATCCCTTTTAATCAAGGAAGTAGAAGGATGAAATGAAACACTGATGAGGGGAATGATGTCAACCCAGAAAAGGATATTAATTGTAATGCTGGAGTCTCACGTCTGTTTGTATGTTTGTGTTTATGTGTGTCTGTGTGAGTGTGTGAAAGATGGGTACATAACAAATTATGTAGAAAGAATAGAAACACGCTACTTCTGAATAGTATCGTAATCATCAAACAAAAATGTAAAGAGCAGAATTCTTGTTAGTATTTGACTTAAATTTAGTTTAATTCTCAGACATTAGAAGTTAATCATATCTATAAGTAGAATAACATGGGGTGTGAAAAATATATATACACAAACTTAAACACAAACAAGTGTTTATGTTTAAGATGGAGCAAAGTGACATTTTAGCACAAACACAGTTATATGTTACAGAACCGACTACAAACTGCACCCATTCAATATTTGTATTAGACTAATGCATTTAAATGTGCAGTTTTGACATCCTCATTCACTCCAAGCTAAAGCGCAATTAACGCTACAGCAGGAGCTCCGTTCCTCAATATGAAGGAGCGTTTATAATAACACCACAAACATGGTGTTTTACTGCCATCTAATGGTGCAGCTGGCATCAGTGTGCCATTATTGTTGTGAGCTCTGGCAGAGGCGGTTCATGGCTTGTGAACATGTACAGGCTTGTAGACACACAACCGTCAAAATATTCAGGACTTGCTTAATGGTGCAGTTGGAACCCGTCAATAATCCTCTAGCTGCTCTTTTAACAGTAAACAGGTTGCATTGAGTGTTTGGTGCCAATGTTTTAGTTCCTGGGTTGTTTTTACCATTGCAATCAAACTGAGTTTGGCAGAGCTGTGACTGTTTCTGCTCCATCATGTCTGTTTGATGTGACTGTACTTTGTGTGAGGAAACATTTTCCATATAGGTGATCCATACTACTGGTTATTTACCTCATGTTTCTGAATGCCAGTGGCAGTAAAACAAACTGTTTAACAAGGATACAGCTAAAGGAACCTTCACCCTGCTGGGCCTCTCTTTTAGGTCATAAACATCATAATATATTATTATAATAGAACATTATTTGTTTTCTTATTATAATAAAAGTGTGATGACGATAAGTGAGAATGATAAAACACATAAAAGTAGAAGTGTGTGTAACATCCATTTATTACCACCTTATATGACAAATCTGGAAATTACAAACATTGTTTAATTGAAACATTATCCTCAACATTTCAAAAAAAAAGAAAAAGAAAATCAAATTGAGCAAAAAAATAAAAATTAAGTTAAAAGGGTGACGAGTCAACCTGAGAAACGGTATACAGACGATCAACTGATCCGGAGAAAAAAACAGAAGCAAAGGGGGGACGTTATACAGAAAACATGACCAGCATTATTTGTCATGTAACACTGATTTACAATACATTTTCACATTTTAAATCAGTTATTTTGCTTTCAAAAAAAAATATTTTTCACACTTTGAGAGCTTTTGGTTTTGGAGAACATTACAAACCTCGATGAACCTTTGTTATAAAAAGGTCCTTTGTTAAAAAATAAGCCACTGCTATAAAAGTATCTCTGACACTGTACTTGAGCTCTCAAGCTTTGGCTTTAAATAATTAGATGAAACCAATTTGAACACCACAAAAACAGGTGAGGTTAAACTCTTCTGTCAGTTAGGAAAAGAGTGTCTACAAGAGGATCCAACTTTGGTGCCAAAACGAGTCAGTAGCTTCACATTTCAGTAGAAAAAAATCTGTTCAAATCTGTTTTTTTTTTTTTTTTTGTTCTCTGTGAGTGTTTTAATCTGATTTATCCCCCCCATCTCCTTGTCATCCACAAATAGTCTGAAGTGAAAAAAATAAAAATCCTGTGCATGAGACTTATTTGGAAGGTAAATAAAATATGATAAAAAATAAATGATGAATGACAGCAATGATCAATATGATAATCACAAATCAACTTCTCCAAAGATGCTGATGGATTGTATACAATTTGCTGTGGTGATCAGAGCCAACACTCATGCAGACACATACAGGGACAGAAAACCCAGCCACGACCGTCACGACTAACAGAGACTAACAGTCGTCTCTGCACATTTCGGAGAGAGGCTGGCAGAGGATAGAAAGCAGGAGAAGAGGACCGGGTAAGTTCTTCTAGCACCCTGCTGCAGAAAAGAGACAAGAGTCCCCCAGCAGACAATTACCCATCCTCTCCTCCTGTCTGTCCCTCCCAAATTTGCAATGTTCTAGTCCATGTTTTTCCTTATTCGATCCACAGATCATCCTCTCCCCCACAGGGTCAGATTAGAAACAGTGCAAACCAGGAGACGTGTGCTTGAGGAGATCTCATCACCAAAGAGTCGGTACATGCACAAAAAGAGTACCCTAAAAGTCTGCTGCCGAGAGCACTAAGAAAAACACGACTATACACTTTATCCATATTATAATCAGTTTTCCTCTACACACTACTAACACGGGAGGGAGAAGGTGAGGGGCAGAGGGACAGAGATAGACGGGTGAAGGAAGGGCAGGAAGAGGTGAAAGGGAGAAAGACCAAGAGAAGCGCTTAAGCACGCTCCCCGCGGATGCGACGTGCCAGCTGGATGTCTTTGGGCCCATGATGGTGACACCTTTGCCGTGGATGGCGCCACAGGGTTGCGTGTCCTCGAACAGACCCCACCAGGTAAGCCTCGCTGCCTCCTGCAGACAGACAAATACAGGAAGATGAGCTGAAATGATTCACTGAACTAAATGACTTTTGGCTTTGGTAACTTTATTACGCCAGAGCTTGAGATTAGGGTTTTGACACTTCTCTGGAATAAATTGATGAACTTCTTTTAAGGACCCTAAAATAATCAATACATTAACGGTCGAGTGAAATTGAATTGCTAAAAGAAGCCATAAGTTTCTGTCCCTGCTCTGCAGAATTTTTACATACAGCAGTCAAATGTTATGTTTATTAGTTATTAGTTATTTGTTACATGCGTTGATAACTGATTATTACAGATTTATTTTCATCTTTTCTCGCTTTTTTAACCCTTGCTTTACCAAACGCTGGCAAGGCCCGTGTATTTCTGGTCTACTTTCACATTAATATCATCCATCCGCTGATTCACCTAATTAACAGTCATCCAGGCCAACTTCTTAGAGTGCGGTTCTGATTCAGTGCTGACCCTGCAGAGCTCACCGAAAAATTTTTGGGCCTTGGCCGCCTGCTGACCTGCAGAGCTCCGATGGCTGCACTCTGGAAACGCAGGTCGGTCTTGAAGTCCTGAGCGATTTCTCGGACCAGGCGCTGGAAGGGCAGCTTGCGGATCAGCAGCTCGGTGGACTTCTGATAACGACGGATCTCACGCAGAGCCACAGTACCGGGCCTTCACAATTCAAAAATGGTTTACTTATGTGTGGAGTATATGGGAAGAATATCTTTTTATATATATATATATACACAGTTTGAGAATGTTTTGTACTCCTCTGCTTCCTAAAAACATTTTAATGTATTCTTCTATAATCTTATCATCAGTAAGTCATGGTTTAGATTTATGTCCAGCCAGAAACAGAGTGAAAACACTGTACTTGTCTGTCTCACCTGTAACGATGGGGCTTCTTGACACCACCAGTGGAAGGGGCGCTCTTGCGAGCAGCCTTTGTGGCCAGCTGCTTACGTGGGGCTTTGCCTCCAGTGGACTTACGGGCAGTCTGCTTGGTACGGGCCATGGCTACTGAAGATCAGCTGAGGAAGACCAGCAAAAAAAAACAACAACAATTCAATAACTCAACCTGTTCTATGATCAACAAGAGTCTTTTTCTGATTTATTGAACATTATTGTTCCTGTTTACCTGCAAAATGCTTCAATGGCACCAATAACGCAAACGTGATAACAGAAAAACAGTAGAAAATAAAAAAGTAGAAATATAACGTAATGTTTGACACTTCTACACTTGAGATGATAGCACTTACACTAAATAACTACCCACTAAATACTCTCAAAGGCATTGTGTTGTTAAATACAACGACACAGATGATACGATAAAGTTTCTTTATTCGAACAGGAAACTTGAAATAAGTTAACTTTTTGGGTAAGTAAACATACAAGGCATTCCCTATCACATCAGCCCGACAGACGTCCATCAAACATGAGCGACGGCACCATTGGCTGCTAGACCAACACGTAGCTAAAAATACAGCGTATGAACCAATCAGCATGCAGAGCCTTCAAAGTAGGCGGGCTCTACAGCTGCCTTCCACTGTTGCTAGGTCCGCCTACCGCGCTCTGATGATGGCGGCGGTTTGATGCGCAAACGGGATAAAGACCCAGGGCAGAAGAGCAAAGGAGTAGCACATAAACAACTTCAATTTTACTAATAACCGCTGCTCCAGCGTACCGGGAAACCGGAGAACAGTACAGAAGACATTTCAAGGAACTCATAGATGGGCAGCGGAGAGCCGAACGGTCCCTAACGGCAGCGTAGAACCGAGCTGAACCGGCGCATTATTTGAAACAGAATTTCCCCTCAACTGAGCGGCTGCAGTAAAGACTGCATTTCACCGTCGCTTCGACAGCCGTGTTTGTTATTCTTCCACACGACAAAATTAGAGCTTTTTTCACAGTTAAACGTGTGTACAAAGAACAAAAAAACACAACTTAAAAATACAAAGTTAATTCACGAACACAGTGACAGATTTGGAGAGGCTTACCTAGGGGAAAAGTGACCAGAAGTCGTGAGAAATGTTTCGCTTGTCTCTATTTTCTTCTTCGTATCCACAATGGGAAGCAGCGTCCAGCGGGAAAATGGCCGCCGCGTCAATCATCTGTCCCACAATGCAACACTGCTCACAAAACACTGTGGTTACTTTTATTAGTTTGACATATTGTGGCCAGCGTGGGTTCATCAGTCCGACTGCGTTTTATTAATATGTATCGAACAAGGCGGTGATTTACATGTGTACCAGTAGAGGGGAAACACAGGGCTGCTGCTGCTGCTGGTTGGACTGTGTCGCCCTTTTCTACATTCACTGTGCATGTGACCAGGGTAAAACCGAAACTTTGACATTTAACTCTGAAGAAGTTAGTCGTGCTGTTTAGTGGTTGTTGAGAAGTGGTTTAAAAGTGTTGTTGTGGATGACAATGATCTAACTGCTGCTAAAAGTGCGTGTGGAAAGTGACATTTTCACTCACTGACATCAGGAAAATGCAGGGAGCGATGTGAGCTGAGACTTTTGACAGAAATATTCATATCTAAGTTATAATCAGTTTTGTCTACAGAAAAGTTGAGTTGTTTTTGGTCTATTTGCAATAAAAGTTTAAGTATGTACCTGGAGTTTTATTTAAATTTCAGAATCAACCAGAAATAGATCTTTTGGCAAGTATACAGCATTTCTTGGAAGGGGGTGTGAAAATATGAACGTACTAAATGTGTGCATAAGAATTAATTAGTGCCATAATTTACTAATATTTAATGTCCTAAAGTCTTAGTGACTTCGGTTTTTGTTTTGCCCAGAAGTAAAAGAAACTGTTTACGATCATATCTGAGAAAGAAAATTGAGAAACTGGGATTATTATAATTTTTTTACACACTTGCTTGAAAAGAGACAACAGATTATTTGTAGTAAAAAATTAATTTTCTGTCCAACTTATCCTCCCAGCTCACATGTGAATAGTGTTTTTGTGTCGATATTCACTCATACGGTGTATTTAACCACAAGAATCTGTTTTATTATGTTTCTATGTGAATTCCAGAGTACAAATATTTTGCCTTTAAAAATGACTGAAAACATAAATCAAAAACACAGTAGAAAAAAAATTAGGTTATCATATCAACCTGAGAGAGGAACAAAAAGTCAAAACATTACCTGGACATAAAAACGTGGCTGAAAATCAAAATATGATCAACATAGGTTTGCTACATATATGCCGCTTGTAAGTTAAACTGCCAAAAATGCAGTGTCATCACAGCATGATGACATTTCTAATTGATAAGAACCAGAATTAAACTCATGTATTGTGATACATTAAACAGTAACAGTAGAAATACACCATTGTTGCAAAAAAAAAAATCACTACTTATACAACAAATTTCTAGTTAAAAAAAAGAAAAAAAATCAGAAGACCCATTATATCAATGTATATGTCCGTCTGAAGAGGAAAATGTCTCAACCTTAATGCTATTTCCTATGCTCAGTTCAGATCACACACTATTCTTGGCTTGCAAAACACCTTAATCATAGAGATAACAAGGCATTCCTTTGAGCTAGCTACGTGAGGAGTGTAACTGTGATTCAAAGTTTCAAACTTACATGAAGATATCTCGAAGGAAACTAGTAGCACCAAAGAAGACATGATCACGCAATTTACGGTTATCACAATATGATATATATTCAACCTCAAACCAAACTACTAACTAAGTATAGAGGAAAGAAAGTGATAGAAAGAGTGGCGAAGGGACAAGAGGACAGCATATAACAAATCAGAAAACATTTTAAGCACGCTCCCCGCGGATGCGACGTGCCAGCTGGATGTCTTTGGGCATGATGGTGACCCTCTTGGCGTGGATGGCGCACAGGTTGGTGTCCTCGAACAGGCCCACCAGGTAAGCCTCGCTGGCCTCCTGCAGAGACAAAATACAGGAGATGAGCTGAAATGATTCACTGACTAATGACTTTTGGCTTTGGTAACTTTATTACGGGCGACTGAGATTAGGTTTGACACTTTCTGGAATAAATGATGAACTTCTTTAGGAGCTAAAATAATCAATACATTAACGGTCATGAAATTAATTGCTAAAAGAAGCCATAGTTTCTGTCCCTGCTCTGCAGAATTTTACATACACAGTCAAATGTTAGGTTTATTAGTTATAGTTATTTGTTACATGCGTTGATAACTGATTATTACAGATTTATTTTCATCGTTTCTTTTAACCTTGCTTACCAAACGTGCAGGCGTGTATTTCTGGTCTACTTTCACATTAATATCATCATCGCTGATTCACTAATTAACAGTCATCAGCCAACTTCTTAGTGCGGTTCTGATT